AAGATTTTTTAAAATGTTTCATTTAATGTCAATATAGGAGGCTACAGATAGCTCTTACAGTGGGGTCTTGACTTGAGAACTTAATCCGTATTGGAAGGCGGTTCTCAAGTCAAAAAGTCTGTAGGTCAAGTCTCCATTGACCTACAGTGCATCGAAAACCGATTAATCCCGTAACAGGCCGTTTTTGTTCCATTTTGGTTTTTTTCTGGTCTGTAAGTCAATTCTCAGGCTGCAAGTCAAACCTAAATTTTGCGGCCAGAGAAGTCTGTCACTCAAAAAGGCTGTAAGTCAAGCTGTCTGTAAGTCAAGGTCCACTGTACTTGACTTGAATTGAGGACCAAGCTGATGATACTACTATTCCCATTCTTCAGCCTTGGAAGTTTAGTTGTTGTTGTTGTTTTTTTACATACAGCAGTGGTTTTATACAGTTTTAGATGCTGAAGTGGTGTTGACACAGAAGACACCAAGACAAAGCGCTGCTGGGAAACATGAAGCCTTTGCATGTAAGAAGCCAGGCTTTCCCGAGCCTGAGACAACAGTCCCTGAAAACCATGAGCCCAGGTCAAAACTGACACTCTTGAGTCTATCTTCCAGCGCTAGAACAGCACACCCTCTACCAAGTGCTTCGTGATCCCTGTAGCAAGTGCATCAGCAATACATCCAGAATGATCTCCTGGAGAGAAGCAAGATTACCAGGCTTCAAGCCGTTCTGAAAAGGAGTGGAGTCTGGGAGCAGTAGCCTTCTGCAAAGTTCCACCCCACATTCCAGTCCTTGGTCTAGACTGAGACACTAAAGTCCTCAGTTGAGCGGAAGACCTTGCTGAAGGAAAGAGTTCTTTTCTAAACATGACAAGAAAATGTTATATAAATTGGTGTTCAACTTAGAAAAACTAAAGTTCTTTACAAAATAATGTTACTTTGTCCATTATCTTGCAAAAATCAATCTTCTTTCGTGGTTGTTCAGCCCTGTAAAGTTGAATAATGGCTCCTAATCAGACTTGGAGGTGAGGAAGTGGCTGTTCTGTTACCCTAAACTATCAGGCTTTAGGATCTGGACATCCAAATATTAATCTAAACTAAATATAAAGCCCCCCCCCCAAATTCAATGAAATTTTGGGAGTCAAGCATCTTAAAAATGAAATTAAATTTCTTTTCCTGTATACAGCTTGTTTGGTGTTTTCCCTTCTTCTTACTGCATATGTTTCTATTCTCATGGAGAAATTATGTTCCAGTTCCCTAAAAGTATAACCAGAAATTTTATGAAAAGTTATGAATTTCCTTCTAACTAGCTGAATAATGCATTGCACGAAAAAGATAAGAAAGTTAAAGTCTGTTTTCAAGGTCAGATCATTTAAATGTCCCTCTGTGTCTACATGCACTGTCTAACTTGCTCATTAACAGAGTGTTGTTCTTATTTGTGCTACAGTCACTAAAGCTGACAGCATTCAATTGCTTACATTTCCTCTTGCTGCTTCTGGTCAGTTGCTTGTTTGCTGAGGGCAGAGTAACACACTACTAGTTAAAGCACATCACAAAAATGCATGTGTCAGTTAGGAGAATAAATATTCCAGAAATATAATAGGGCTAGATGTTTTTTAGGACAATGCAGTACCAGTCTAACATGGGATATCTGGAGTGAAATTAGAATCGAATATATAACAAGGCAGGTCTTGTTAAAGTTTGATCAGGGCTTTGCAGCATTTTCTTGGCCTTTTATCTAAATCCATTTTGGACAATAGTGATATCTTTTAATGAGGAAAAGGTGAAATGGAGATTTTTGGAGGAAAAAGAACATGTGTGCACAAGGAAAAATAGATATGAAGCCAATCTGTTATCTCTGTACTGTGTATATCTATGTGTATCTACTTGGCAAATGTTGCAGTTTAGGACTGATTTGTATATTCTTGATTTCAGTATTGTTCTTCAAAATACAAATCACACAGTAACATCCCAAGATTAGCTTGCAGGATGTGTCTTACTTGGAGTTAGTCAATGGAATATTACTTAAGCAAAATTTGGACATAACATTATGAGGCTAATCTATAATGTACTTCAGAATAATTAAAAATTATCAAAAATATGACCTTGCCCCTTACCTCCGACATCAGCTGCTAGAGAACTGACCTATATCCTTTTCCATTTTTCATTCCAGCAGCAATGTTCTTCCTTACGCAAAAGCCTTGAGTTTCAGTGAGGAATATGTACAGGCTTCTGGCTCAGTCAGTGCCTGAATAAAGAGGACACATATACCATGTGTTCTTGTGGTGAAGCTCTGGTTCTCCATGGAGACCCTGTTCCTTTGAATAGGGAAGTGCAAAAGGCGGCAAGGCCAGGTCGCAGGCGGAATAGTGCAGGCAGTACAGAAGGACACCAGTAGCAGAGTGCAGAGTTAGGCTCTCTGTTCAATTTTTATTTATCCCTTTTTCCAGCTGCCAGGAGCAAGGCCCCAGTCAGCTTCCTAAGGCAGCCATCAGGAAAGGAGTGAAGAAGCAGTGTTAAATGGGCAGTGGACTCATTCATCTTTAATTCCTTTTTTTTTTTTTTTTTTGAAAAACCAATGCCAGGAATGTGTTATTTAGTAGTTCCCATCTTTTCTTCATCTCCCCACCCCCATGCTTCTTATTCTCCGGATTTAAAACTAGTGGTGCTTGTGGCTACAAGACTGTGATGATTTAATCAATGAATTTGCAGCATGAAAGTAAATGAAGGCTTGTTTCTAATGCAAAAAGCATAGTCCTCTTCCCTGTCACCGGCAACTCAGAGTCTCCCTTAGTTTTATTTCACCTTTCCTCACTTCTGATTGCAACAAATGAATGCTGGGTTTAACATATGAGATCTGTTAAGGTGCTTCTTGACCCCGTTAATGCCTCTGGACTCCTTGCTATGCCTTGCAGTCTCCCTAGAAATGCACAAATGTCCTTGAATATGTTTGTATTTATGCAATTGTCTGAAGGCTGTGTACATCCTTACTTCCAACAGCACCAAAAAGAATTATAGTGCAAAGGATTTTGTTCTGTGTCCCCAGGGAGGAAAAACACATCTAAACTCTTTTCTTTCTTTCATGCAAATTGCAAAAGGAAATTGTAATGAAAGTATGACTTTGGTTTAATGATGTATTTAATTTCCAAGGGTCTGCAAGTGCACTACTCTTATGATAATAATTTAGCATACTACAAGGTTAGAAAGTGAGTTTTCATCTGGCAAAGAGAGACGGGGAACTGTTTCAATTCAGAAAACTTGAAGTTGCTATTAAAGTTTTTTGCGACTATAAAATCAGCTTGAGTTTCAGATAACTTTTGAGACTAATAGGTGATAAGAATGAGGATGGGACCAAATCAGTTTGCAAATCTGAAAGACTGACTGTAAAAGGTACATCTGGAGTCATTGGTGGGCAGAGTTCACATCTGGCGAATGTTCATTTCCCCTTTCCCTCACTTACCTTTTTTGCCCTAACTTTCTGTGAAATAATACCAGATTCTAACTGCACAGAACAGCACAGCACAGCATATGAGCTTGCATTGCAGACCAATCCAGAGATAGGATATTTCTTCCTTATTTTACCAAACTACTCCTTACTGATTCTCTTGGAAATAAACCTCCTTTGCTGCAGAGTTTAGAAAAGTTCTTTTTGGGGGGGGGGAGTTGGACTAAGATTCCCATAATCCCATAGAATCCTTTGGCCACTAATTATTCCGGCTGGAGTATTTTGGGAAATATAATCCAAAAAAGGTCATTTTCCATGTTCTGCCTTTCTGACTTTCTTCTTGTCAAGAAGTCTTTTAACTCGCATTTAGATGTTGGATTATTTGATTGATTGATTGATTGATTGATTGATTGATTGATTATTTAATGTTTTTTGTGAAGCAGAAAAGCAGCTCACAGAGATGACAGAAAAATGTAAAGCATGTTCAAAAAGTATTACAAAAAAGGACATTTTCCATGTTCTGCCTTTCTGACTTTCTTCTTGTCAAGAAGTCTTTTAACTTGCATTTAGATGTTGGATTATTTGATTGATTGATTGATTGATTGATTGATTGATTGATTATTTAATGTTTTTTGTGAAGCAGAAAAGCAGCTCACAGAGATGACAGAAAAATGTAAAGCATGTTCAAAAAGTATTACAGTGAAGCAGGAAAGCAGCTCACAGAGATGACAGAAAAACCATTTGCAAATGTAAAGCATGTTCAAAAAGTATTACAGTAATATTAAGTAAAGTGAAACAGTAGTGTAAAATAATTCCAGTCAAGATGGGAAATTCACAGAAAACTGAAGCAAAATAGCACAGTACCAATTCTAAAATTAAAGTTATTCAATAAAAGGTATTGAATGCCTATTTAACCAAAACTAAAGGGGGAAAGTTGTACATCCTGTGGGAGGGAGTTCCATAAAGATGGTGCCACCACTGGAAAGTGACTCAGCTGATCTGTATGGGGAGCTGCCAGAGGCAATTAGAGTTCCAGCCTGATCAGATTCAGTTGCATTGTGGTGGTACCTTTTGAATATGGGCTTTAATTTATGGGTATGTTTGATGGCTGGAGGAGGCAGAATGTTGCATGATGAAGAGAAGAAGAAATCACACATATGATATCTTCGTTTTAGACCGTATTAATGTGTCAATATTTCTACTTACGTGAAGTTTTTGAAATTTCCAGAGGCTGTCGCAGTGGTTCCACTAGCTTCAGCAACATAGCCTTTGTCTTCTGTACCATCTATGCCAATGGTAACAGTGGTTCCACTAGCTTCAGCAACATTGTCTTCTGTACCATCTATGCCAATGGTACTTTGTTAGTTAAGCTGCTAATCCTGAACAGTACCTGTTTTTGATTTTAAGGACTGGCATTAAGGGTGTGCTGCTAATCCTGAACAGTGTCTGTTTTTGATTTTAAGGACTGGCATTAAGGCAATGCTGGGGTACCTGTTATTATAAAGAAACAACGTCTCTAATAAAGCTTATCTTTTCCTTCCTTCCTTTTCTCTTCCCTATCCTTTCTGTCTATTAGTCTGAAGTATCCTGGATACCCAACAAACACTATTCTGGCATTTATGGGCTGATGAAGCTGGTACTGACAAAGACTCTCCCTGCCAACCTTGAACGAGTCATTGTACTTGACACAGACATTACCTTTGCTACAGACATTGCTGAGTTATGGGCTGTCTTTCACAAGTTTAAAGGTAATGCCTTACCTTTCTTTTTCCTTCTTTTTGGTAATCATTCAAGGATCCAGAAGGTTTTTTGTGGTTTAGGATGTTTGTATGCTATCTACTGTTACTTTGTTTTCATGGTCCTGATTGTTTATTGTCAACAGTAAATTACGGTATCATTTGGACGTCCTTTCAGCATATAATGTTGTATTAAGGAACCAGCTTTATGGGAAGGTGTGAGTGTTCTATAAAGTACATAGCACTTTTTTTTCTACAATTAGAGGCCAGGCAAGTGGACAGTTACAGTGACAACAGTGAGGCATGTGTAGGGAGCTATGGACCAAACCTAACAGTATACAAGCAGATTTCTACTCCCATGTTTCCCTTCCTCTCCTCCTCCTGTATGCCTCCTACATGCTGCTATAGAGGACCATCCAACCCTCCAGAGCAGAGTTGGAAAGGGGTCTCAGGGCAGGGCTGCAGCAGGAGATAGTCTGCTATGCACTATCCATTCCACTGGTGGGAGCATGCAGGCCTATACCAGAATCTAGAGTAACTAGAGCAGAAGCAAGAAATCCAGTAGTAGAAGCAGTATAACAAAATGATGCATCAGTACAAGCATGTGTTGCAAACTTTGGTCAAGGAATCAGAAGAGCTGGTGTTAATTCCTACTGTGATTTTGCATAGCAGAGAGCAAGAGGGAGGGAGCTTAAGAAGGCAACTTTGCAACCGTATTGAGTGAAATAGTGCACAGCAACTTCTCAGTGAGCAAAAAGTATAGTTGTCGCATTTTACTTTAGAAATCAGTTTCGGAAAATCAGAATGATACACGTACCTGTAGATTGGATTAAAGTAGGAATCTGTTTTAACGTAAGCAAGGAAGTGTGCAATTATCAGAATGGATATAAAGTCATTATTTGCTGCTTAGTTAACAGACTGGTGAAGGTATCTTCAGGTAAAGGATGCTTGCTTTAAGCAGATTTCCAGTCCTGTCTGCATTCGTCCTGCCTATTAATCCATACTTTAACTAAAGCAGAAATCTCTTTCAAGCAGTTCGGTGAAATGGAGTTAAAAGAACTCATAAAAATAGCATAAAAGAAGTCTATCATTTTATCTGTATTTGTAGGTATCAGACTACTCACTTCATCACATCTTCCTCTCAGGCTTTTTTTAGCACTCACACCTTGTTCCCTTTCATTCAATACTCTTTATTTTCCTACAATGGTTAGCACTCTCAGCCCATTTGATTTTGGAACATAACTATGAATTCCTTCCATCTCTGGAGCATCAGCTGAAGGGATCTATTGTCAGTGATTGTTTCAGGTTTCTTTAGTCCTCTCTCTTCTTTCCCATTCGGAGGTCTCACAAGTTTAAAATGACCTTTTGGGGACAATCTAGTGTGCTGATTGAAACAGTACTTACCACAAGAGTAGTCGTACTGTCATTAAAAGATGGTTCCTCCTTGTAGGAGCCTGACTTCATAATCTGCTCCATCCTTGAGGGCAATTCTAAAATTACTGACTTTTTTTAGTGGAATTGTTCAGTCACTCAGTTATTGCCATGGATTGTCTTGGTCCAATTCATGTCAAGTTTAATATTGTTTGAGCTGATGTAAGAATTTTCACAGCAGATACTAAGAACCGGTCTTGCTCACTCTTTTCCAATACACATGAAAGATCTAAAAGATAGTGCCCAGATTTTCATAAGGTTCCTGTTCGAAAGTTATCAATCAGCTAAGCACTAATAATAATCTTTGTAAGGAAGAATTCCTATTTTGCTGGAAGGTGTTAGTCATGGAGCAAAGCTTAGCTTGAGCATTCCACTCCTTTGCAGCAGAGGATTTCCTTATTCTTAACTTCACAAATGGTTGAGGAATATGAGTTTTTCACATTCAGATATGAAATGACCCTATCTGCTTTTCATATTCAGATATTAAATGACCTTCTTTCGATGCAGAATAGCACATGCCAATCTACTGGGTTTCTACTGTTGGGATATAGTTCCTGATAATTTAAATGTATCAAAATATTAATTTCAATATGTTTTTTAGTGGAAAAGCATGTGAATGAGTATGTCGAAAGAAAATGTGCATTTAAATATTTTAGCCAATTCTTTTTTTGTTTTTTTTAAAGGCATATCAGTGAAGGACAGAGTGAAAATTCTGGATAAAATGTGGATATTTCTGTTTATTTCTCATTAGCCAAAAAGGACTTGGAAAAACCTACTGACGGAATATGAAACATATAGTAACAAACCATTTAAATCTAAAACTAAGGAAACCCAGACTATTATGTTAAAATGGCTTAGAAAATGTGCATTGTTAAATGTATCAAAAAACATGCACTGTCATTTGTATCAAAAATTATATAAACAGCAAAAGTTTGGTTGGGCTATCCAACATTCAGTTATACATTCCTGTTTTCCTGAAGTATCCTGGAACTGACATGGTAGTTTCAGGAGAGTTCTACCATGTTCTTGTAATTTTTAGTCATCATTTTAAATCATTCATTTAAAGAAGTGTGCTTGGACACATAAAAACTTATGAAAATATATTTTAAAAAACATCTTAAAAGTTTTACAAAACCCATGGTTTCACTTTTGCTGAACAGACTAATACAACTACTGGCTAGAGCCCCTTTTCTGTACCTTTCCATTGTGCTTGAGAATAAAGCCTGTCCAAAATTAGAGTCTGTAAATATTTTTGTAAAGCAGAAGTAAGACAAATCAGATTTAAAAATCATGAAAAACCTTTCTTTTGTGCCAGCCCTCCATTAAAATAGATGAAGAGGACATTCTACGAATTGGGTGCCACTGCAGAAAATGTTCCTCTGTGATTTCACTTTCATTCATTGATTATCACACTGCATTCTTTACTTACCCTCTGAAGTTCTTCCATGCCTTTCTGAAGCTCACAGTACTGAATAATACAGAGCAAGATCATCTTGGTAGGAAACGTTATGGAATTTTCAGAGATATCAGACTTCAGGTTCTATGAAGATTTCCTAAAACAAGAATGTGCCCATTTATGTCTTAGTGTTTCTGAGTTTAATTATTCATGCCTGGTCACTAAAATTATCTTATCTCCCTGTATTGCACAGTCTATAACTATTGGATCCCTCCATTTCATTGATTTATCAAGCAAAGGTCAACAGAATAATGTATAAAAATTTCACAAGGGGTTGTGATGGTTAACTAAAATAAGGAAAATAATCCATGAAATCCTAATCAGTAAAAAAAATTGGTGATTTTGATTATTTTTGAATGGAAACAGATGTCAGTAACATTGCCTGTAAATATTTTGCTGTTTTAGAGGAAACAGTGTTGTTTCTGCTCTTACTACTGTGTTCATTGCTTAGCAAGATCCAACATGTATTTCACAGGAGCAGCAATCTTACATAGTAGATAGAATCCTCCAGCTTATATTCAGGTTGTGAATCACAAAAATAACGCATATGTGAGAGGTTTTCTTTTCATGCTGAATTGGTTTGCATGGACAATCCATATTTGTATTCCTCTGAGCCTTCATACAGGAGTATGGTTAATTGCTCCCAGTTGTCTGCTGGCAGCTGACATATGCAACTCTTGCCAGTTAACAGAGGCACATATTTTTATATCTGAGCAGCATCCTAGAAACACATGGAAGAGATGTGCAGTTATAGATGGAAAGTGCAGTAGAGGCAGTTTTGGTTCACACACTGGGATGTTATATATAAATATAAGAAAACATGAACATATCTACCATGAATAGTTGATCTAGTAGGAGCATGTACTATAAAGGGATCATTTTGTGTTTTTAATACATTGTCTCTTAACTCTTATTCAAAGCTTGGAAATAATATGTACAGTTTAACTCATTAATGTTTCAAAGTCATTATTTTTGTTTTAAACAGGGGGCAAGCTGATGCATTGCTTCTTTTCATAACATTAAACATTACCTACAAAACGTTATTTAAAAAAATAAGATGCTGTGCAGTTTACTTATGCTCCTGTTTAATGCAGAAATGGCAACGTTAAGGATGACACATTAAACCTGACATAATTCTGTCTTGCCTGGGTCACCATAGATTCTGCTGAATTTGAGAGTCAGTAAGCACATCAGTGAGAAAAAGGTCACAAAACTTTATTTAAGAGACAATGAAGTGGGAAAAACACAGTAGAAATAGCACAGAGAGGCTGAGATCTGGTTGCTTAGTGTAGTAAATCACATTTGATCATTGGAAATATGGTGAGTCACCTCCTCTATAAGTTCTGTTGGTTTGAATGGGCCTACTCCAGTTGCAGGTTACTACACTAAAGTAAGTTGTAACTAGAGTAGGCCCATTTGCATCAATGGACCTTGTAGAGGAGTTGACTCACAAAATCCCCAGCACTTCAGTAAGCCTAGTCTGGTGCAAAGCCGTAGGATACAATAACTGAGCGGAAAAAAGTTATAATGCATCAAAGTACAGTGGGGTCTTGACTTAAGAACGGCTTGAGTTAAGAACATTTTTACTTAAGAACCGCTCTCATAGGAAAATATTGACTTGACTTAAGTACTTAGATTTGAGTTAAGAACTGAAAAAAAAAAGGTCACAAAACTTTATTTAAGAGACACTGAAGTGGGAAAAACACAGTAGAAATAGCACAGAGAGGCTGAGATCTGGTTGCTTAGTGTAGTAAATCACATTTGATCATTGGAAATATGGTGAGTCACCTCCTCTATAAGTTCTGTTGGTTTGAATGGGCCTACTCCAGTTGCAGGTTACTACACTAAAGTAAGTTGTAACTAGAGTAGGCCCATTTGCATCAATGGACCTTGTAGAGGAGTTGACTCACAAAATCCCCAGCACTTCAGTAAGCCTAGTCTAATGCAACTTACTACACTAAGAATGGATGATCACAGGATGCTACGACAGCACCAGTAATATGGTGCAAAGCCGTAGGATACAATAATTGAGCAAAAAAAAGTTATAATGCAACAAAGTACAAGATAACAGACAAAAAGCAAAATAAATTAGATATAACCTGTACACTTTCTGCTTGAGAGAACC